GTCCTTATAGCTTAATGCAAAGCATGGCACTGAAGATGCCAAGATGGTATCTAGTAATCCCTAAGGACAAAAGACTTAGTCCTAACCTTACTGTTAATTTTCGCTAGACATATACATGCAAGTATCCGCACCCCAGTGTAAATGCCCTTAATGTCTCCCCATTAGACAAAAGGAGCAGGTATCAGGCACACTATCTATGTAGCCCAAAACGCCTTGCTTAGCCACACCCCCACGGGTACTCAGCAGTAATTAACATTAAGCAATAAGTGTAAACTTGACTTAGCCATGGCGACCCCCAAGGGTTGGTAAATCTTGTGCCAGCCACCGCGGTCACACAAGAGACCCAAACTAACAGTAGCCGGCGTAAAGAGTGGTAATATGTTATCCAACCAAATTAAGACCCAAACACAGCTAAGCTGTCACAAGCCCAAGATGTTCCTAAAATCACCATAAAAATGGTCTTAACACCCACGATCAATTTCACCCCACGAAAGCTAAGGCACAAACTGGGATTAGATACCCCACTATGCTTAGCCTTAAATCATGATACTTACCCCACCTAAGTATCCGCCCGAGAACTACGAGCACAAACGCTTAAAACTCTAAGGACTTGGCGGTGCCCTAAACCCACCTAGAGGAGCCTGTTCTATAATCGATAATCCACGATTCACCCAACCACCCCTTGCCATGCAGCCTACATACCGCCGTCGCCAGCCCGCCTCATGAGAGAACAATAGCGAGCACAATAGCCCACCCGCTAACAAGACAGGTCAAGGTATAGCATATGGAGTGGAAGAAATGGGCTACATTTTCTAACATAGAATACACACGAAAGAGGATATGAAATCATCCTCAGAAGGCGGATTTAGCAGTAAAATAGAATAAGAGAGTCTATTTTAAGTCGGCTCTAGGACACGTACATACCGCCCGTCACCCTCCTCAAAAGCTATAACACCCCATACATAATAAGCTCCGCAGCTGAAGATGAGGTAAGTCGTAACAAGGTAAGTGTACCGGAAGGTGCACTTAGCATATCAAGACGTAGCTAAAACCAAAAGCACTCAGCTTACACCTGAGAGATGTCTAACATAGGACCGTCTTGAAGCGCCCTCTAGCTCATCCACCCACTTGAACAACCCACTAAACTCAAAAACTAAAACATTTTCCCTACTTAGTATAGGCGATAGAAAAGTTACTTGACGCAATAGAGATATCCTTGTACCGCAAGGGAAAGATGAAATAATAATGAAAACCAAAGCAAAAAACAGCAAAGATCAACCCTTGTACCTTTTGCATCATGATTTAGCAAGAACAACCAAGCAAAACGAATTTAAGCTTGCCATCCCGAAACCCAAGCGAGCTACTTACAAGCAGCTATTATTGAGCAAACCCGTCTCTGTGGCAAAAGAGTGGGAAGACTTGTCAGTAGAGGTGAAAAGCCAACCGAGCTGGGTGATAGCTGGTTGCCTGTGAAAAGAATCTAAGTTCACTCCTAACTTACCCCTCCCGGCATCCACTAACCTTAATGAGGAAAGCTAGGAACTATTTAAAGGAGGTACAGCTCCTTTAAAAAAGAACACAACCTCCATTAGAGGGTAACCCCCCCCCCCCCCTCCTCCCACGTTGGCCCTAAAGCAGCCATCAACAAAGAGTGCGTCAAAGCTCAACCAAATAAAAATTCAATAACACTATGACCCCCTACACCACTAACAGGCCAATCTATGACCATAGAAGAACTTATGCTAAAATGAGTAATTAGAAATTCTTCTCTAAAGCGCAAGCTTACATTATATATTATTAACAGCCTAACTTATATTTACACTCCTACTAGAACAAATATAAAACCACTCTGTTAACCCAACTCAGGAGCGCCTATTAGAAAGATTAAAATCTGCAAAAGGAACTAGGCAAACCCAAGGCCCGACTGTTTACCAAAAACATAGCCTTCAGCCAATAACAAGTATTGAAGGTGATGCCTGCCCAGTGACTAATGTTTAACGGCCGCGGTATCCTAACCGTGCGAAGGTAGCGCAATCAATTGTCCCATAAATCGGGACTTGTATGAATGGCTAAACGAGGTCTCAACTGTCTCTTGCAGATAATCAATGAAATTGATCTTCCTGTGCAAAAGCAGGAATATAAACATAAGACGAGAAGACCCTGTGGAACTTAAAAACCAAGGATCAATGCACTCCCACCCAAACCTACTAAGGCTCACCACTCCTGCAACCAACTGATCCTCGTTTTTTGGTTGGGGCGACCTTGGAGAAAAAAGAATCCTCCAAAAACAAGACCACAACTCTTAACTAAGAGCCACTCCTCAAAGTGCCAACAGCGACCAGACCCAATATAATTGATTAATGGACCAAGCTACCCCAGGGATAACAGCGCAATCTCCTTCAAGAGCCCCTATCGACAAGGAGGTTTACGACCTCGATGTTGGATCAGGACATCCTAATGGTGCAGCCGCTATTAAGGGTTCGTTTGTTCAACGATTAACAGTCCTACGTGATCTGAGTTCAGACCGGAGAAATCCAGGTCGGTTTCTATCTATGCTATACTTTTCTCAGTACGAAAGGACCAGAAAAGTGAGGCCAATACCAAAAGCACGCCTCCCCGCCTAATTAGTGAAAACATCTCAACTAACAAGGAAACCACCACCCCCGACCCTAGAAAAGGGCTAGCTAGCGTGGCAGAGCTCGGCAAGTGCAAAAGGCTTAAGCCCTTTATTCAGAGGTTCAAATCCTCTCCCTAGCTCAACCCACAATGCAATTTACCATCTTTACACACCTGACTATAGCACTCTCATACGCTGTTCCAATCCTAATTGCAGTAGCCTTCCTTACACTAGTTGAACGGAAAGTCTTAAGTTACATACAAGCTCGAAAGGGACCAAATATTGTGGGGCCCTTCGGACTTCTTCAACCCGTCGCAGACGGAGTTAAACTATTCATTAAAGAGCCCGTCCGCCCCACTACCTCCTCACCAATTTTATTTATTGCAACCCCAATCCTAGCCCTATTACTAGCCATCACCATTTGAATCCCCCTGCCCCTACCCTTCTCCCTCACTGATCTAAACCTAGGCCTCCTCTTCCTCCTATCAATATCAAGCCTAGCAGTATACTCAATCTTATGGTCCGGGTGGGCTTCAAACTCAAAATACGCCCTAATCGGTGCCCTACGGGCAGTTGCACAAACCATCTCCTATGAAGTCACACTCGCAATCATCCTGCTCTCCGTAATTATATTAAGCGGGAATTACACTCTTAATACACTAGCCACCACCCAAGAGCCCCTATACCTAATCTTCTCCACCTGACCCCTAGCTATAATGTGGTACATTTCAACACTCGCAGAAACAAACCGAGCCCCCTTTGATCTGACCGAAGGTGAATCGGAACTTGTTTCAGGGTTTAACGTAGAATACGCCGCAGGCCCATTCGCCCTGTTCTTCCTAGCTGAATATGCCAATATTATACTAATAAACACACTAACTGCTATTCTATTCCTCAACCCAAGTTCACTCAATCTCCCATCCGAACTCTTCCCACTAATCCTGGCCACAAAAACCCTACTACTCTCTTCCGGGTTCCTATGAGTCCGAGCCTCCTATCCTCGATTCCGCTACGATCAACTAATACACCTTCTCTGAAAAAACTTCCTACCCCTAACATTAGCCCTATGCCTATGACACACTAGTCTGCCAATTTCCTATGCAGGAATCCCCCCTCACTTAAGGAAATGTGCCTGAATCAAAGGGTCACTATGATAAAGTGAACATAGAGGTTTACCAGCCCTCTCATTTCCTAGGACCCCGCCTTAGAAAAGCAGGAATCGAACCTGCACAAAAGAGATCAAAACTCCTCATACTTCCCTTATATTATTTTCTAGTAAGGTCAGCTAATTAAGCTATCGGGCCCATACCCCGAAAATGATGGTTTAACCCCTTCCCCTACTAATGAATCCCCATGCCAAATTAATCTCCCTCATCAGCCTCCTCCTAGGTACAACAATTACCATCTCGAGCAATCATTGAATCATAGCCTGGACCGGACTAGAAATTAACACCCTAGCAATTATCCCCCTCATTTCAAAATCCCACCACCCACGAGCCGTAGAGGCATCCGTCAAATACTTCCTAGTCCAAGCCGCCGCCTCTGCCCTAGTCTTATTCTCAAGCATGTCTAATGCCTGAGCCACAGGCCAATGAGATATTACGCAACTAACTCACCCAACAGCCTCCATACTATTAACAGCAGCAATCGCAATCAAACTAGGTCTAGTACCCTTCCATTTTTGATTCCCCGAAGTCCTTCAAGGTACATCCTTAACCACTGCCCTCCTACTCTCCACCTTAATAAAACTCCCACCCATGGCCATCTTATTAATAACATCGCCCTCACTAAATCCCACAGTACTTACCTCCATAGCCCTTGCTTCAGCCGCACTAGGGGGGTGAATGGGACTAAACCAAACACAAACCCGCAAAATCCTGGCCTTTTCATCAATTGCCCACCTTGGATGAATAACCATAATCATCATTTATAACCCCAAGCTCACCCTCCTAACCTTCTACTTATATATCCTGATAACAGCTACCGTATTCCTGTCCCTAAACACGACCAAGACCTTGAAATTATCCACACTAATAACCTCCTGGACAAAAGCACCCGTACTAAACGCCGCCCTAATACTAACCCTCCTATCACTAGCCGGGTTGCCGCCATTAACAGGATTTATACCCAAATGACTAATCCTTCAAGAACTAACTAAACAAGAAATAACAACAGTAGCCACAATTATTGCACTATTATCGCTACTAGGACTATTCTTCTATCTACGCCTCGCATACTATGCAACAATCACCCTCCCCCCAAACTCTGCTAACCACATAAAACAATGATACATCAGTAACCCCACGAACACATCCATTGCCATCCTCTCCTCCCTTTCCGCCATCCTCCTGCCTATCTCCCCCATAATCCTCGCCGCCCTCTAGAAACTTAGGATAACTAAACCAAACCAAAGGCCTTCAAAGCCTTAAATAAGAGTTAAAGCCTCTTAGTTTCTGTAAGACCAACAGGACATTAACCTGTATCCTCTGAACGCAAATCAGATGCTTTAATTAAGCTAAGGCCTTTCTCCTAGACAGATGGGCCTCGATCCCATAATAGTCTAGTTAACAGCTAGATGCCTTATCCAGCAGGCCTCTGTCTACAGGCCCCGACACGCCTCTAACGTGCATCAATGAGTTTGCAACTCAACATGAATTTCACTACGGGACCGATAAGAAGAGGAATTGAACCTCTGTAAAAAGGACTACAGCCTAACGCTTGAACACTCAGCCATCTTACCTGTGACCTTCATTACTCGATGACTTTTTTCAACAAATCACAAAGACATTGGCACCCTATATCTCATCTTCGGCGCATGAGCGGGTATAGTGGGCACAGCCCTCAGCCTGCTCATTCGTGCAGAATTAGGACAACCAGGGACACTACTTGGAGACGATCAAATCTACAATGTAATCGTTACCGCTCATGCCTTCGTAATAATTTTCTTCATAGTTATACCAGTAATAATTGGTGGCTTTGGAAACTGACTAGTTCCACTTATAATTGGTGCCCCAGACATAGCCTTCCCCCGAATAAATAATATAAGTTTCTGACTACTTCCACCCTCCTTTCTACTCCTACTGGCATCATCAACCGTCGAAGCCGGAGCAGGAACTGGATGAACTGTTTATCCGCCCCTAGCAGGTAACCTCGCCCACGCTGGAGCCTCTGTTGACCTCGCCATCTTCTCACTACACCTAGCTGGTGTTTCTTCTATCCTAGGTGCAATCAACTTTATTACAACAGCCATTAACATAAAACCCCCAGCCCTTTCACAATACCAAACCCCTCTATTCGTGTGATCAGTCCTAATCACCGCCATCCTACTACTACTATCACTCCCAGTACTCGCTGCAGGTATTACCATGCTCCTCACGGACCGAAATCTCAATACCACATTCTTTGATCCCGCGGGAGGAGGAGACCCCGTCCTATACCAACACCTCTTCTGATTCTTCGGACACCCTGAAGTCTATATCCTAATTCTCCCTGGCTTCGGAATTATCTCTCATGTAGTTACGTACTATGCTGGTAAAAAGGAACCATTCGGATATATAGGAATAGTTTGGGCTATACTATCTATTGGATTCCTGGGCTTTATCGTATGGGCTCACCATATGTTCACAGTAGGCATAGACGTGGATACCCGAGCCTACTTCACATCAGCCACAATAATTATTGCCATTCCGACCGGTATCAAAGTATTTAGCTGATTAGCCACCCTACATGGAGGAACAATTAAATGAGACCCGCCCATCCTATGAGCTCTGGGCTTCATCTTCCTCTTCACTATTGGAGGTCTAACTGGCATCGTACTAGCAAACTCCTCACTAGATATTGCCCTGCACGATACATATTACGTAGTAGCTCACTTCCACTATGTTCTCTCCATAGGAGCAGTATTTGCCATCCTGGCAGGATTTACACACTGATTCCCCCTATTCACGGGCTACACCCTCCACCCGACATGAGCAAAAGCACACTTCGGAGTGATATTCACAGGAGTAAATCTAACCTTCTTCCCTCAACATTTCCTAGGCCTAGCCGGCATGCCACGACGATATTCAGACTACCCAGATGCCTATACACTATGAAACACTATATCATCCATCGGCTCACTAATCTCTATAACAGCCGTAATCATACTAATATTTATCATCTGAGAAGCATTTTCATCAAAACGAAAAGTCCTTCAACCAGAACTAATCGCCACTAATATTGAATGAATCCACGGCTGCCCACCTCCCCACCACACCTTTGAAGAACCAGCCTTCGTTCAAGTCCAAGAAAGGAAGGAATCGAACCTCCTCACGTTGGTTTCAAGCCAACTGCACTAAACCACTTATGCTTCTTTCTCTATGAGAAGTTAGTAAACCTATTACATAGCCTTGTCAAGACTAAATCACAGGTCAAAACCCTGTACATCTCATGTGGCCAACCCCTCTCAATTTGGATTCCAAGATGCGTCCTCCCCTATCATAGAAGAATTAGTTGAATTCCACGACCATGCCCTTATGGTTGCACTAGCAATCTGCAGCCTAGTTCTCTACCTACTCGCCCTAATATTAGTAGAAAAACTATCCTCAAATACAGTAGATGCGCAAGAAGTAGAACTAATTTGAACAATTCTGCCAGCCATCGTACTCATTCTACTTGCTCTACCCTCCCTACAAATCCTTTATATAATAGATGAAATTGACGAGCCGGATCTAACCCTAAAGGCCATCGGCCACCAATGATATTGATCGTATGAGTATACAGATTTTAAAGATCTCACATTTGATTCATATATAATCCCAACATCAGAACTCCCACCAGGTCACTTCCGGCTACTAGAAGTAGATCACCGAGTTGTAGTACCCATAGAATCACCTATCCGAGTAATTATCACAGCTGGGGATGTCCTCCACTCATGGGCAGTTCCAACCCTGGGGGTAAAAACTGATGCAATCCCCGGACGACTAAACCAAACTTCATTCATCACCACTCGACCGGGAATCTTTTATGGCCAGTGCTCAGAAATCTGCGGAGCTAACCATAGTTACATGCCTATTGTAGTTGAATCAACCCCTCTTACATACTTCGAGAGCTGATCATCACTACTCTCTACCGACTCATCATTAAGAAGCTATGGAACAGCACTAGCCTTTTAAGCTAGAGAAAGAGGAATATCCCCTCCTTAATGACATGCCCCAGCTTAACCCAAACCCCTGGCTCTTTATCATATTTATATCCTGAACAGTCTTCCTCTTTCTTATACAACCCAAACTGACATCCTTTATCTCTACAAACTCACCATCGAACAAAAATAAAACTACCCTCACTCCCACTCCCTGAACCTGACCATGAACCTAAGCTTCTTTGATCAATTTGCCAGCCCCCAACTATTAGGAATCCCACTAATCCTACTCTCCCTATTATTCCCAACTTTACTACTTCCATCCCCAAACAATCGTTGAATCAACAACCGCCTATCAACCCTCCAACTATGGTTTCTCCAACTAATTACTAAACAACTAATAATACCCCTAAATAAAGCAGGCCACAAGTGAGCTCTTATCCTAACATCTCTAATAACCTTCCTCCTCCTTATCAACCTACTAGGCCTACTACCTTATACATTCACCCCAACCACCCAACTATCTATAAATATAGCACTAGCCTTCCCCCTTTGACTGGCAACTCTCCTAACAGGGCTACGAAACCAGCCATCCATCTCCCTGGGCCACCTCCTACCAGAAGGAACCCCAACACCCCTAATCCCCGCCCTCATCCTCATTGAAACTACCAGCCTACTAATTCGACCATTAGCCCTAGGCGTACGACTTACAGCCAACCTCACAGCTGGCCATCTTTTAATCCAACTCATCTCTACTGCCACTCTAGCCCTACTGCCCACCATACCCACCATCTCTGTCCTAACCGCAACCGTCCTCCTCCTACTAACAATCCTAGAACTAGCAGTAGCTATAATCCAAGCTTATGTCTTTGTGCTTCTGCTAAGCCTATACTTACAAGAAAACATCTAATGGCACACCAAGCACACTCATATCATATAGTAGACCCAAGCCCATGACCAATCTTCGGCGCCACTGCTGCCCTACTTACAACCTCCGGATTAATCATATGATTCCACTATAATTCATTATACCTATTAACCCTGGGCCTGCTTTCAATGTTCTTAGTCATAATCCAATGATGGCGAGACATTGTACGAGAAAGCACCTTCCAGGGCCACCACACACCAACAGTCCAAAAGGGGCTGCGATACGGGATAATCTTATTCATTACATCCGAAGCCTTCTTCTTCCTGGGCTTTTTCTGAGCATTCTTCCACTCAAGCCTAGCCCCCACACCAGAACTGGGAGCACAATGACCCCCAACAGGAATTAACCCCCTAAACCCCCTAGAAGTCCCTCTACTCAATACGGCTATCCTCCTAGCTTCAGGTGTTACTGTTACCTGAGCACACCATAGTATTACAGAAAGTAATCGAAAACAAGCAATCCATGCACTATCATTAACCATTATCCTAGGATTCTATTTTACTGCCCTTCAAGCAATAGAATACCACGAGGCATCATTCTCCATTGCTGATGGGGTCTACGGCTCAACCTTCTTTGTAGCCACAGGATTTCACGGATTACACGTAATTATTGGGTCTTCCTTCCTTACAGTCTGCCTCCTACGACTTATCAAATTCCACTTTACAACAAACCACCACTTCGGGTTTGAAGCAGCAGCCTGATATTGGCACTTTGTAGACGTCATCTGATTATTCCTCTACATATCCATCTACTGATGAGGTTCCTGCTCTTCTAGTATATTAATTACAATTGACTTCCAATCTCTAAAATCTGGTGTGACCCCAGAGAAGAGCAATAAACATAATTACATTTATACTGCTACTCTCCCTCACCTTAAGCATCATCCTAACCACCATCAACTTCTGACTCGCCCAAATAAACCCAGATGCAGAAAAACTATCACCCTACGAATGCGGCTTCGACCCACTAGGCTCTGCTCGACTCCCCTTTTCAATCCGATTCTTCCTCAGTAGCTATCCTATTCCTACTATTCGACCTAGAAATCGCCCTTCTACTCCCACTCCCCTGAGCAATTCAACTCTCACAGCCCCTACTAACACTCCTATGAACCTCTATTCTTCTCCTCCTTCTCACACTAGGATTAGTATACGAATGAATCCAAGGGGGCCTCGAATGGGCAGAATAATAGAAAGTTAGTCTAATTAAAGACAGCTGATTTCGGCTCAGCAAATTATAGCAAACACTATAACTTTCTTATGTCTTTCCTACACCTAAGCTTCTACTCAGCCTTTACCCTTAGTAGTCTAGGCCTAGCCTTTCACCGAACTCACCTCATCTCGGCCTTACTGTGCCTAGAAAGCATAATACTCTCACTATACTTAGCCCTCTCAATCTGACCCGTTCAAGCCCAAACACCATCTTTCACCCTGGTGCCAATCTTAATATTAGCATTCTCTGCATGCGAAGCAGGAACTGGACTAGCAATACTAGTCGCATCAACACGAACACACGGCTCAGACCACCTCCACAACCTAAACCTATTACAATGCTAAAAATCATCATCCCCACTATTATACTCCTGCCTACAGCCCTTCTTTCTCCTAAAGCCTCACTATGGACAAATACCACCACCTACAGCCTCTTGATTGCCACCATCAGCCTTCAATGACTTAACCCAACATACTTCCCGCATAAAAACATAACCCCCTGAACAGGTATTGATCAAATCTCGGCCCCACTATTAGTCTTGTCATGCTGACTCCTCCCCCTAATACTCCTAGCAAGCCAAAATCACTTACAGCAAGAACCCCTAGTACGAAAACGAACATTCATCGTAACCCTCACTACAATCCAACCATTCATTATTCTAGCCTTCTCAGCCACAGAATTAACCCTATTTTACATTTCATTCGAAGCCACCCTAATCCCCACACTAATCCTTATTACCCGTTGAGGTAATCAACCCGAGCGACTTAGTGCCGGAATCTATTTACTGTTTTACACTCTCATTAGCTCACTACCCCTCTTAGTTACTATCCTCCACCTACATACGCAAATCGGCACCCTACACATACCAACCCTAGAATTGACCCACCCTCTACTAACCCACTCCTGAACCGGAACCCTATCTGGATTAGCCCTCCTAATAGCATTCATGGTAAAAGCACCCCTCTACGGCCTCCACCTATGGCTGCCCAAAGCCCATGTAGAAGCTCCTATCGCAGGATCTATACTACTAGCTGCCCTACTATTAAAACTCGGGGGTTACGGCATTATACGAGTTACCCTACTCATAGGCCCCCTTACAGATCGCCTATCCTACCCATTCCTAGCCCTGGCCCTATGAGGTGCACTAATAACCAGCTCAATCTGCTTGCGCCAAACTGACCTAAAATCACTAATCGCATACTCATCCGTAAGCCACATGGGCCTAGTTATTGCTGCCAGCATAATCCAAACTGACTGATCATTCTCAGGTGCCATAATCCTCATGATCTCCCACGGATTAACCTCCTCCATACTATTTTGCCTAGCTAATACAAACTATGAGCGAACACACAGCCGAATCCTCCTATTAACTCGAGGCTTACAACCCCTGCTACCACTTATAAGTGTTTGATGACTACTAGCCAACTTGACAAACATAGCGTTACCCCCAACAACCAACCTAATAGCGGAACTTACAATCATAATCGCCCTATTCAACTGATCTACGCCTACTATTATCCTAACCGGACTGGCAACCCTACTAACCGCCTCATATACTCTCTTTATACTCTCAATAACGCAACGAGGAACATTACCTACCCACCTCACATCCATCCATAACTCAAACACACGAGAACACCTCCTAATAACCCTCCACATTTTCCCAATACTTCTCCTCATACTAAAACCAGAGCTAATCTCGGGAGTTATCTAACGCAAATATAGTTTTAACCCAAACATTAGACTGTGATTCTAAAAATAGAAGTTAAAATCTTCTTATTTGCCGAGGGGTGGTTTAACCAGCAAGAACTGCTAATTCCTGCATCTGAGTCTAAGCCCTCAGCCCCCTTACTTTTAAAGGATAACAGTAATCCACTGGTCTTAGGAACCACCCATCTTGGTGCAACTCCAAGTAAAAGTAGTGGAAACCACACTACTTTTCAACACCTCCCTTTTACTCACACTAATAATTCTTCTTACACCAATCCTCCTGCCCCTCCTATCGACAAAACTCCAAAACACACCCTTAATTATTACAACCACTGTCAAAATAGCCTTCTTTACAAGCATCATCCCAACAACCATCTTCATCTACTCAGGAACAGAAGCAATTATTTCCCACTGGTACTGAAGTTTCACCCCCAATCTCAAAATCCCACTCAGCTTCAAAATAGACCAATATTCAATACTATTCCTCCCTGTAGCCCTATTCGTAACCTGATCTATCCTACAATTTGCAATGTGGTATATGGCCTCAGAACCTCACGTCACTAAATTCTTTATCTACCTATTAATATTCCTAATTGCCATATTGACCCTTACAATCGCCAACAACATATTCATACTCTTCATTGGCTGAGAGGGCGTAGGAATCATATCATTTCTCCTCATTAGTTGATGACATGGACGAGCAGAAGCCAATACAGCCGCTCTCCAGGCCGTAATCTACAACCGCATTGGAGATGTAGGCCTCATCCTAAGCATGGCCTGACTTGCTTCAACCCTCAACACATGAGAAATCCAACAAATCTCATACGAAAGCCAAACCCCAATTCTACCCCTCCTAGGCCTCATTCTAGCCGCCACAGGAAAATCAGCTCAATTTGGCCTCCACCCCTGACTCCCAGCAGCAATAGAAGGTCCAACCCCTGTCTCAGCCTTACTCCACTCAAGCACTATAGTAGTAGCAGGAATCTTCCTTCTTGTTCGCATTCACCCACTCTTAGCCAACAATCAAACAGCCCTAACAACATGCCTCTGCCTGGGTGCCCTATCAACACTATTTGCTGCCACATGCGCCTTGACACAAAATGACATCAAAAAAATCATTGCCTTCTCCACATCAAGCCAACTAGGATTAATAATAGTCACCATTGGACTTAATCTACCGCAACTAGCCTTCCTCCATATCTCAACACATGCCTTCTTCAAAGCCATACTATTCCTCTGCTCAGGGTCAATCATCCATAGCCTGGCTGGTGAACAGGACATCCGAAAAATAGGAGGCCTACAAAAACTCCTCCCAACAACCACCTCATGCCTAACTATTGGTAACCTTGCCCTAATAGGTACCCCATTCCTGGCTGGATTCTACTCCAAGGACCTTATCATCGAAAGCCTTAACAACTCATACTTAAATGCCTGGGCCCTCTTACTCACCCTACTGGCCACCTCATTCACCGCCACTTACAGCCTACGAATGACCCTAATAGTTCAATCAGGGTTCAGCCGAATCCCCCCCATTACCCCCATCAATGAAAACACCCCTCTAGTTATCAATCCCATTACCCGACTCGCACTAGGCAGCATCATAGCAGGCCTCCTCATTACCTCCAACATCCTACCTACAAAAACACCCCCAATAACCATACCAACAATCATAAAAACAGCCGCCATCGTCGTCACAATCCTAGGTATCCTCCTAGCACTCGAACTATCAAACATAACTCATAACCTCACGGCCCCTAAACAAAACATCTACTCAAACTTCTCCACCACATTAGGTTATTTTAACCCCTTAGCCCATCGACTCAGCTCCATAAAACTACTCAACAACGGACAAAAAATTGCCTCTCACCTAATCGACCTCTCATGATACAAAAAAATAGGACCAGAAGGACTAGCCGACCTACAACTTATAGCAGCTAAAACCTCAACTCCACTACACACCGGATTAATTAAAACCTACTTAGGAACATTCGCACTGTCCATCCTCATTCTACTCACACTCACCCACAGAACAAAACCAATGGCCCCCAACATTCGAAAATCGCACCCCCTGCTCAAAATTATCAACAACTCCCTAATCGACCTCCCATCTCCCTCAAACATCTCTGCTTGATGAAATTTTGGATCGCTACTAGGAATTTGCCTAATTACCCAAATTCTAACAGGGCTCCTACTAGCCATACATTACACAGCCGACACTACACTAGCATTCTCATCCGTCGCCCACACATGCCGGAACGTACAGTACGGATGATTTATCCGCAATCTCCATGCAAACGGCGCATCCTTCTTCTTCATCTGTATTTACCTACACATCGGCCGAGGACTCTACTATGGCTCTTACCTCTATAAAGAAACCTGAAACACCGGCGTTATCCTCCTACTAACATTAATAGCAACTGCATTTGTAGGTTATGTCCTCCCCTGAGGACAAATATCATTCTGGGGCGCTACTGTCATCACAAACCTATTCTCAGCCATCCCCTACATCGGACAAACCCTAGTAGAGTGGGCCTGAGGCGGATTCTCAGTTGACAACCCCACCCTAACACGATTCTTTGCCCTTCACTTCCTCCTCCCATTTGTAATCGCTGGCATCACCCTGGTACATCTCACATTCCTGCATGAATCAGGATCAAACAACCCCCTCGGAATCATCTCTCACTGCGACAAAATCCCCTTCCACCCATACTTCTCCTTAAAAGATATCCTAGGCTTTACGCTAATATTCATCCCCCTACTATCCCTAGCATTCTTCTCGCCCAACCTCCTCGGAGATCCAGAAAACTTCACCCCCGCAAACCCCCTAGCCACGCCTCCCCATATCAAGCCCGAATGATACTTCCTATTTGCATACGCCATCCTACGCTCCATCCCCAATAAATTAGGAGGTGTACTTGCCTTAGCCGCCTCCGTCCTAATCCTATTCCTAATCCCACTCCTGCACAAATCTAAACAACGTTCAATAACATTCCGCCCACTCTCACAATTATTATTCTGATTTCTAGTGGCAAACCTACTCATCCTAACATGAATCGGCAGCCAACCAGTAGAACACCCCTTCATCATCATCGGCCAAGTAGCTTCCTTCACTTACTTCCTCATCCTATTAGTTCTCTTCCCTGCCATCGCAGCCCTAGAAAACAAAATAATTTACTAATTACTCTAATAGTTTACAAAAAACATTGGTCTTGTAAACCAAAGAATGAAGATCACACCCCTTCTTAGAGTAATCAGGGCCCCAAAAACCAAAACATTACCCCTAACATTAACTCTGCCAACAACACTCAGAAAGAGAGGACTTGAACCTCCGCCTCCAGCTCCCAAAGCTGATATTCTCTACTAAACTACCTTCTGACCCTAATCCCTAAACTGCCCGAATTGCCCCCCGAGATAGCCCCCGCACTAACTCCAAGACCACAAACAGAGTTAACAGCAGCCCCCAACCCGCAACCAAAAACAAACCAGCTCCCCAAGAATAAAACAAAGCTACCCCACTAAAATCCAACCGAACAGCACCAAGCCCCCCATAATCTACAGTCCCCACCCACAAATTCCACACCCCCACAAAATCACCCACCACAATACCAACTAAAACAACCAAAACAAGCCCTACCCCATAAATCACCACCTGCCAGCTCCCCCAGGCCTGAGGATAAGGATCAGCAGCCAATGATACAGAGTATACAAATACTACCAACATCCCCCCTAAATAAACCAAAAATAATGCTAAAGAGATAAATGACACCCCCAAACTCAACAACCACCCACAACCAACAACAGACCCAACAACCAAACCAAGTACACCATAATAGGGAGACGGATTAGACGCCACCGCTACCGCTCCCAAAATAAAACAAAATCCCAAAAACATAACAAAGTAGGTCATAATAATTTCTACTCGGATATTACCCGAGACCTACAGTCTGAAAAACTGTCGTTGTTTTCAACTATAGAAACAACTTATCTAATAACATTAAAATGTGCCCCCCCCCTCCCCCCATGTATTATTGTACATTCATTTATTATCCACATACATGATATATGTACTACATTCAATATATGTACTATACCCATTACTATGTAGGGGTACATATATCCCTCCACCACATTACCCTATGGAAACAGTAATAGCTTCAATACCCGTACTAAATACTACCCTGATATACCGGACATGTCTATGGTAAATCCTCAGTAACTGTACGATAAACTCTCATTTAATGTATTAGGACTACAACTGTCACAGTCTCTAGTCAACATGACTGTGATTCCTGGTATCAGATGGATTTCTTAATCTAGCACCTCACGTGAAACCAGCAACCCGCTGCACCACATACCCAGTATGCGCTAGTTTCATGACCATTCATTCCCCCTACACCCGTCGCATGACTCGCTTGAAAGACCACTGGTTCCTAAGTCAGGGCCATTAATAGATTAATCCATTCACGTTCCCCTTTAAAAGACATCTGGTATTGTGAGTAATCACCATTGTCCCTCTTAATCGCGACATGTGAACCGCCTTGTCCCATTTGGTTCCCTTTTTTTTTGGGGGGGCCTTCAAATTACCCTTCACAGTGAACCCCAGAGAGCCTACAATTTAGGTCTGGACCCTATGGTTCTCGTTCTACGTCTTTCCCGGCAGGTTGATTAATGAGACGGTTGGCGATATGTGGAATCATTCGGACTCTGATGCACATTGTTTTACATTTAGTTATGGAGCTTCCACACCTTAATTTAGCGTTGACTAGCTAATGAATGCTTGCTGGACATAAATACCTTTATTATCACTTCCACTGACTTTCTTAACACCACCAGGATTAATCCCCTATATCAGTACAAACACATGATTTCACCATCAATCACATCTTTTACTTATACTCTTTACATACCATCAGTACTGGAGTTACATTAATAACCGCCCGCATATTATATATACATACAACACGCCCCACAACTTATTATAGAAACCCCCCTACCAAACAACAAACAACGAG